GGTTGATTGATTGATTGACAGACTGACTGGTTGATTGATTGACAGACTGACTGGTTGATTGATTGATTGACAGACTGACTGGTTGATTGATTGACAGACGGGTTGATTGATTGACAAACTGACTGACCGACTGACGGACTGATTATCAGTTCAGATTGACTGATTGGTTGAGTCACAGGGACATGAAATGATTGATATACTTATAGATTGGATGTTACATTGGTTGTTTTGTACCTGTTATTTTTCCATGTATGTAAAACTTCTGGATCAGTTAAGTTCAATTCCTGGGCTTGGTTGTCCAACAAATCGAACATGAACTTAATGGCTGGAGCAGGTTTATTACGATTTATCGTAAAGATGGCGTCGAAGAGATTATCAACAAATTGTTGCAATGTACCCTGGGTAGGTGAAAAAAAACCCTTCATTTTAGAGTTTTGTTCAAAAATTCACAAGATATTAAAAGCCTCAATGTCAACAGCGAGTACCTTGGTAGCTAGAAGACGGGTTAGATAGATTTCTGGCATCATTTTCGTGTCTTCTTGGACTAAGGTATAATCTACTTGTTTGACCTGTTGGTGAAAAAGAAACGCTTGGTTTATAACGATAAAATACATCGGTAGAAACAATATAAATGTGGACGTTACATGTGGTTCGTTTAAAAGATGTGTCCGCAATATAAGGTTTGTGAAATGCATACTGGAAGTCGGTTAAATAGGTTTCTACTGTAGAAGTGGTGGCCTCTCGTGAAGAATCGTGAGGTGGCTGCTATAAAGTGGAGTTTGTTTTGTTGAGGGGCGGATAAATGTACAGGCCCAGTGTCTGCAATACCGCGATATTTATTCCTATTACTGTACAGTTATCGATCTTATCGATCTCTAAAGTCATAGATTCCGTTAAGTCCATGTGTGAGTAATGTAATGTGCAATAATGGCAATGAAATATAGGAAAATAAGATGTTTTACTGCATTACGCGTTACCTACCAAATGCCAGACCTTTCCACCCTCATCAACAAGATCTTCTCTACTACCACGAGACAACGGTGTATAACTGAATGGTTTAAACGCTGTTCTTGGAACGCTGTGCACTTGTAAGTCTAGTATTCATAATCACAGCAAGGGTAAATAATTTATTGTGTAAAAAGATAGGTAAAACAACTTRCTGACGTTTCGGACGTTAATTCTTCTTCTCCAACAAAGGATTAACGTCCGAAACATCAGTAAGTTGTTTCAACTACTTTTTTTACATCTTTTTACACAACTGTTTCTTTAGCAACACCGACGCAGCTCACACTAGTTTACCGCTAGTTTCCACTATTTTTAATAATATATTTTCTCGATGTTGTTGTGATAATGGTGGTAGTGTTTCAGCTGTGTTCCAGTAAGAAACATGCGCTGTTTTTTCAATGGTGATCACGTACAAAGGCGTAGCACAGCACACTAGGAGCTTTCCATCACCTCGCGTGTACTAGCAAGCGCTGTATGAATACTTACCAGAGCTTGTACTMCCATAGAAGAGTGTATGGTGAGTCGAAAGCTTTAATAATGCTTCATTAGGAACCTAACACAAGAAAAAAAAAAACAATGATAAATACATACATACTCTGTATGCCTCTTCTCAGGAAAAATATTGCTTTAAGTAAAAAAAAAAACGCTTTACGTTGTGTAGATTTATTCCTTAAGTTAGTAATTTATCGCTCAGTTAATAACTGGTAGCGAGGGCGACTACACAGGGAGCCCAACGATGAACGACTGACTTTTGAATCAGTCTTAACATTGTGCCAACTTGAAAACTGTCGTAGTTGCTGGAGCTGTATAAAAGCGTTTGCTAGTTATGCTATTGTGCTGTAGTTTACCTTGTAATGTCCCAATGTATTCAACCGTCTCCAMRGACCCTCGACCACTGAAGACGCATCGTCATCTACGAGAACTTTTTCAGCCCCGTCACTCGTTACCAAACCTTGAAAAGGAAGAAGAGAAGCCGCTATTAACGGTCATGATRGTTTTTACATCCGTAGCGACGAATTGGAGTAAGAAATGCTATTCTATGTTTTCAAACAATAAAAATAAACAACGCACACGCTGTTGAATACGAAAATCGCAAAATCAAAGGAGCAGTCATTTGTACCCGGTGCTAAGCTAATTATAGATTATCATTTTAACTAATAATTGAAATCTACAAAAACTTATCACAAACTTACTTAGTTGGAACGTTTCTTGCTTTGGTCGACCTGAATATGGTTCGTGCTAAAACGTTAAAATCAAGACAAAATTAACAAGAATATAAAAATGAAAGACTCGACAGAGACTTTCGCGCAACTGTAAGAAGTTTATGATCAGAGGTGGTGGGTGCTGGTCAGTGACAGATGCAAGCACCCCCTCCCCCTCCCCCTCCCCCTCCC